AAAAGACCTTTATTTAATTCAAATAAAACCTAAAAATACCAACAAGAGTAATAAATAACTATAACAAAAAATGTGTTATCAAATTCCCCCACACTTATCTTTTTGCACTCCTGGGCAAAAACTAAAATAGAAAGCGAAGACTAAGATCAACCAATCCCTTCTAACAATTACCAAGTATACATAAAATATACATAGATCAGAAGTCTTCAACAGATTAACCAATCAGGACAGAAATTCCCTAATCTCAAATCACAAGACCTGCTAATTTCAACTGTACATGTCAATTACCGAAAATGGTTCCTTATAGGATGCTCTCAATATTTTTCTCTCAAGTGTATCAAGTAATCAGTGTATCACTCAAATTTACTCAAGAAAATCATTCTACCATAGTCTTGCTCAAATTCTACTTCTCCACTGCTACTAACACATGCATGCACAAATCAAGAGGCTTTATGTAGGGTTGTAATGGGGCTGAGGTGAAGGTATGTATAAAATATGGAAAAGAAGGTTAAACACCCCAGAAATCTACAAGAACAAAAGTTAAGAACGACACTAAGAAAATAAAACAAAGATAATGAAAAGTTTTATTTTTTATTTTTTATTTTTCTCTTTTTTTTTATGGCCTTTTTTTTTTACTTTTTTTTTTTTGCTTTTTTTTTAATCAATACAGTAAAAAAAAAAATCAGATGGTCACCCCCCACACTTAAATTTTTGTACGTCTCGGGCAAACCCCCACACTTAAACACAACATCACAGTGAAAACCAATGCTCAGTAAATCTCCAGGGTGTGGAATTTATTGGTTTTTTCACTTAGGCAAGTAATTTGGCTTAAGAAACAAATGATATAAAGGCTCAAAGGGGCTCACCAAGGGATAATAATGTAAGTGATGACTATCTGGCTAAAGGGAAAAATAAAAGAAAAAATGCCTCTATCATATTCATGCATGTAAATGAAAAATGTAGTTTCAAAAAGAACAAGATCAAGTTCTAGAGAATAAAAATCACGAGCAGAAACACACAAGAAAGAGAGAATGACAAAAGATGTAATCCATTCATAAAGGCCCAAAATCTCACAAGGGTAAAACCAAATTACGCAATCAGCATAACAATATTAGTCAACAAGTAATATAATCCAAGAGTCAAGAATTAAGCCTGATCAGAATAATCTATCAAAAGAAATATGTCCAAGTTCATTCCATGTATAACTTAAGTTCAAACGTAAAAATAAATTTCCAACAAAACACGTCCATGTTGGGCTCAGGTTTCGACCATCTTTCTGTCCCAATTGGGCTTCAGTAGCTGAAATAGAAATTATAGCCCTTCTTGTTAGCTACAAAGCACAACAAGAAAGGAGTTAATCGGACATCTGTAGAGTGAGATATGGCCAAAATACGAAAGTAGTGTAAATCTGGAAAATTACGACGAAAATCAATTAAACCCAATTAAAATCTAGAATTCTGATTTGACCCAAAAAACCTTTATTTAATTCAAATAAAACCTAAAAATACCAACAAGAGTAATAAATAAGTGTAACAAAATATGTGTTATCAGAGCACTGGCGGACCCACGTTGGGGCAAATCCGCCAGTGCGGACATAAAACTTTTGAACTTAGTAGTTTTCTTTTCTTTTCTTTTTTGCAGGTACTTATTTTTCTCTTGATTCATTATTTATATTAGGAGTAAATATCTTTTTAAGTCCCTAACAAAAAACATGATCTCCATTTTAGTCTTTTACAAAAAAAATTAGTCTCGAGATCCTTAAAAAATTCAAAGTGAATCAATTTAGGTAAAATCATGGTCCCTCACAACTTCAAAAAAGACCTACATTAGTCCCTCAAAAAGATTAAAATGGGTCTACTTTGAATTTCGTAGGGACTAGGTGACTAATGTTTTATTTATAATGGACTAAAGTGAGGACCAAATTTTTTGTTAGGGACCAAAAAAGATATTTATTCTTATATTAGTTAGCAACGTACGGAGATGATTAAAACAAAGTAACAACGTAAATTGATTAGAGAAAAAACTTATTCCTCCTCCCCCTGTCACGTACCCATTCACATGCTCTCGTCATCCTTTGTTTTCCTTTTCATTTTTATAAAAAAAGAGGATTGATTGCAAGTCCGACATTCTCAAATAAGTTAATATCTAGAGACAAGGTCTTCACTGTGATTTTGCTTGCCTTCTGTACATGTAGTGTTAACTTTTTTATTTACCACTATAAAATAGAATGATGATATGTGGATGTATTGGAGTATATTCTCATATTTGTTTTGGAGGATTGATAATATTTAGAGGGGAAATGATTGGTCAAACTATTGCCTGCAACTTATTAGGGAAGCAACTAGATTATGAGCGGGTTCAAGCGTTGATTTAAACTTTCTTTACAAAAAACATTTTCGACTAAATGTGCGGACATAAAGAAATTTTTCTGGGTCCGCCACTGAGTGTGAGTTATGAGGAGAGAGACACACCCAGATTGGGGCATGATTGAGGAAAGAGACACACCCATAGTTGGGCATGACGAGAATTAAATCGATCGATGTCCTGGAAGGAAAAAAGAGAGAGCAAAAAACATATTACAAGTGTGGGCATATCAAAACCTTTTGGGGTTGTGCTAAATTTTAGCTAGTAGAGTGAAATGTGGATATGTCATCTGTTAAGGATGCATCTGCAAAAAAATTAAAATTTATATTTATGAAGACACGACCTCCCATTACAACCTGAATTTTTGGTTCTCATTTCTTCTTAATCTTAATCTGTTCATGGAATTTTATTTTATTTTATTTTTTTGTAAAATCTCAAGACATTCTATATGTTAAGAGTTTTGATTGAACTGAAGAGAGAGAGATAACGATGGCGAAAGGTTCTAGTCTACAATACCCAGAGCGGATGCTGCAACCTCTTATTTTAGGCATGATTTGCCTTTTTGGTTCGCATAAGTCTTTGAATATGGAATTGATTGTAAAGAACCTTGGGATACACCACTCCAAAAGCTAGCTCAAAGGGTGGGAGTGCCCAAGGCCTTATAAATGCCACATTAGTTACACATACAACCAATGTGGGACTATATACACGCCCTCTCACACGAGAGCCCATTGGGCTTGAAGAGTGGATGATGCAATAGGCCCAGCCTACCTGTGCTAAGAAATTCCACAAGAGAAAGTGAGGGGGGGGCGCGAGGCTCTGATACCATGTAAAGAACCTTGGGATACACCACCCCAAAAGCTAGCTCAAAGGATGGGAGTGCCCAAGGCCTTATAAATTCCACATTAGTTACACATACAACCAATGTGGGACTACATACATTAATATTTGTTTTTTTTCCTTTGTTTCATCATCTTGTCGGTGATGGCATTATAAACAATTGTGTGTTTGCTACTGCTTTGTGTGGATGTGATTTTTTGGTAGATCTAGTTTTTATACGTTTGATTTGTTTATGGGGGAAGGTGGAGATGGAAATGATTTCTAAGACTCAATGTTTATATGCTAATAGTGGATCAAGGGATGTGGTTTTAATGACTTATGAGTATTAGTAATGAATTAGATTGATTTCAAGTTATGTGTCGTTATATGATCCCTGTTCACACTCCACTATGGGCGTGTCTCTCTTCTCATAACTCACGCCCCACGCATGGCATGTCTCTCTCCTAGGTCATGCCTCATGCCGCCCACACCCAGTTTTGGTCGTGCCTAAATGTCATAGATCCGTATTTAGTTTCAAAACAACTATGTTTTCATAAATAGTTATTTAAATAGTAACATTTTAATTTTTTTTTCCGTGAAAACTTTCTTCCTTGAAAAAGCAAACAATGGCCACAATTAAAGGTTTTAAGCGGCAAAAATTCATCAGTTACAATGAAGAAATTCTTATTGTCCCTTATTTTTAGCAAATCAAACAAACTCTTTAGGTGTTTAAAACTTATAATACTATGTGTATATTTAATTTTCATGTTTCACATTTCTTTAGTTATACTCTTTGTCACAGAACTGTCAAGCCAGTGGCGAAGCTAACAAAGTAACCCAGTTATGGCAAAAAAAACTTAGCTTGTCCCAAATTCTAAATTTTTGAAATATGGATAGCTACAATAATTTAGCTACATTTAAAACGTGACTAATTTCTAAAAATCAATTTGTTTGGAGTCAACGTGGCCATGCCACTGTGTCAAGCATAATCAAAGCATAATGGTGTCATGATGAAAGTGTGCGCAACTTTAAGAAAGATGTTAGAGTTGGGAAGAATATCATACAAATTTTTCATAAAGAAACTTGTCAATGACAAATTTAACACTGCCAGTATAAGAAAGAAGGTCAGAGATAAAATATAAAATCATTGAAGGTCTATAAATTATTTTTTGGGTTAAATTGGATCTTTAGTTAACCATGAGATTACAAGTTCAATCTTCACTGTCCTCGTATTTTAGTGGAATTAAGTTTCCATAAGGTAGAACAAAAAAAAAGAACTTGTGTAATATTCACGTTTTAGAGCCCTTATGTAAGGGGTTTGAATAGTTTGATTAAGTTGTGTATTCAATTTCCATCAATATATTCAAAAAAAGAGAGCTCTTTTATAAGGGAATATATTAATAATTATTTGTGAATTTTTTTTTTTGTGAGAACGTATTAATAATTATTTGTTTCAAAATGATGTCAATTTTGTTATAAAAAGAAAATCGAAAGTTCAAATGCAAATTTACATTCCCAAACATGTCTATTTTATTAACTTTAAAAAAATCCGAATAATTTGGATAAGTTTACGGAAAAAGAATTTACTTTAAATTTTATATTTGAATACAATGTTTAACAAATACTCATTAAAAAGCATTCATCCCTGGAAAAAAAAAAAAAAATCACCCTGGAAAATAAGTGAATTGTCGTGAAATTATTTTAAAACAAGAGACTTTCCCTCCCCATTCCCGCCATGACGAAAATAAAAAGTGAAGCGAAAAAAGAAAAGTAGATCCCTAAATTGTTGTGAAGAAGAAGAAGAAAAAAAGAAAAGAATGTCGACATGGCAGATATTTTCCGACGCCGGAAACAATTACCGGTGGCAAATTCGTGAAGAAGGAGCTTCAAATGCCACTGCACCTTTGCACACTCCCATTGCCACCGCACCCCTCCCTTCCATGTTCGATCTTCTTCTCCAAGGTTCGAAATTTTCATCTCAAATTATAACTTACACTTACATGCCCCATAATAATAATAATAATAATAATAATAATAATAATAATTATTATTATTATTATTATTTTATTTCGTTGTACTAATGTGGAAATGGATGTGTTGTTTTGTAAAGGCTGTTCAATTCTCAATGAAGGCACTCCAACTGTTATTGGCGAGGATGCTGTTGCTGAAGGTGTTTAATTCTCTTCATTTCCTTGTTTAAATTATTCAAAGTAGTGAAATTAATTTTGTAAAAAATAAAGCTGATTGTTTTGTGGGGATGAAGTTTCTTAGGTTGATTGAAAGTTTTTTTTTTTTTTTTATTTATTTATTCCCATGATTTTTTAAATAGTTTGGAAATAGAAAATGGATCTTATTCTGGAAACACTGAAGCTACTATCTTGTTTTCTTTCTGTTTGTTGAAATGTAATATAAATATGTGACTCTGAGGTTAGAGCTTATAGCACCAGCTTGTCCTTTAGGGCAATTTTTTTTTTTTGTTGTCATCGCGAATGAGCTTGTGGTTCAATTTGGATGATGATGATGTTGGAGGTTCAATCTCCATTATGCCACCTATTGCTCTCCGCTATCCATGTGCTTGCACCCTCCCATGTAACCAAAAGAAAAAAAAAAGGTGTCCTATTTCATTACTCTCCAAAGTTGTAAAAAGTGTCCCATTGCAAAGTCATGTAATAGAGGGAATTTATTTTTCTGAATCTATCAATCAATTTCTCATGGTACAGTTTTTCAGATACTGAAGTAAAATTTCCCTAATTCAATATGTAATTTGAAGCGCCTTTGTATCTTGACTAATGTATGTGATCTGGACTAACAAATTGCAGGTGAAGAGCATGCAATAGATAATATTTGTAGCTTCTCAAATTCTCTTTTTAAGACAGGCTCTGGAAAAAGAGTTAATATATCTTCTAGTGGTCTGGTTAGAGCAAAGACATTACTGGGATTGAAAGAAGACACTGTTGGTAGTAATATCCAAAGCCCTCTATCAGCATACAGAAAAATTGCATGCTATTTTCTTGAAATTCTAAGGGATGCTTAGATTCCGCATAATAAATATTATTATTATTATTTTGTACTAATTTGGAAACCGATGTGTTGTTTCTTAAAGGCTGTTCAGATCACAATGAAGGGACTCCAACTGTTCTTGGCGAGGCTGCTGTTGTTGAAGGTGTCATTCTCTTCACTTCATTGCTTTGATAATTCATAGATGTAAACTTAATTATAAAAAAGAAAAACCTCTTCATTTTGTGGGGATGCAATTTCTTAGGTTGATTGAAAGTTTTTTCCCCATGATCTTTTAAATAGTTTGGCAACAAAAAATGGATCTAATAGGACGCTAGCTCTACGGATGTACTCTAGGTACTACAGGATGTCATCATCACGTTTACATGTTGAGTCATCAATTCAGTTAGGAGAGAATGTTCCCAATGGGAAATTGGTTAGGATGATATAAAATTGGGAAATATTGGATAACAAAATGTGTTAAGCGAGAAGAAAACGAAAGACATATGATGTAATATGCGTGACTCAGACACACAACAAAGGCACTGGTATATATTTGAATAAAAGGAATTACACAAGAATAATACATGGTGTGGGACTTGGTCCCTTGCACTAAACTATTCTATATATAACACTCTCAACACTCCCCCTCAAGTTGGAGCATATAAATTATATGCGCTGAGTTTGTTACATATATAATCTATTTGGAGACCTCTCAAGGACTTAGTGAAAACATCTTTCAGTTGATCATTTGAGTTGATGAAATGTATAGTGATATCTCCTAAAAGGATTTATCTCTGATGAAGTGACAATCTATTTTAATATACGTAGTTCTTTCATGAAACATTGGATTGGAGGCAATATGCAAAGTAGCTTGATTATCGCAAATGGGTGTTGTTGTTTTAGCGTCTCCAATCTTCAGTTCCTTAAGCAATTGTTTTAGCCAGATAAGTTCACAAGTGGTTGTGACCATGGAATGATATTCTGTTTCAGCACTCGATCTAGCAATCACACTTTGTTTCTTACTTTTCCCTAAGTTATTTCCAATGACCATATAGTATTCAGAGGTGGATCTTCTATCAGCGGGGCAACATGCCCAATCAACATTTGAGGATCCCAGAACTCTAGTATGACCTTTGTCTCCATATAAGAGTCCTTTTCTTGAAACTGATTTCATGTACTTAAGAATATAAATCACAGCATTCTAGTGATCTTCACAAGGAGAATTTAGGAACTCATTGACTGCAAACGAGATTTCTAGTCTAGTGATAGTGAGGTAGTTTAACTTCCCAATTAATCTTCTATACTTTTCTAGATCTGAGAATGACTTCCCCTAATTTGGAAGAATCTTGATTTTTGGATCTATAGGAGTGTTAACAGGCTTTGCATTCAACAGAGCTGTCTCCTCAAGAATATCCATAACATACTTTCTCTGGGATATTACAATACCATTCTTGGATTGAGCCACCTCTATCCCTATGAAATATTGAAGTTTACCAAGATCCTTTGTCTAAAAGTGATGGTTGAGATGTTGTTTCACCTGAGTAATGCTATGATGATCATTATTTGTAATGACAATGTCGTCAATATATACCACCAAATAAATGGATCTTGAAACTGAGTGGCGATAGAATACTGAGTGGTCAGCTTCATTCTGAGTCAAGCCAAATTGTTTAATAACAATGCTAAGTTTCCCAAAACTAGCACTTGAAGGCTATTTGAAACCTATAATGACTTGTGGAGGCGACAAACTAAACCAGACTCCAGAGCAACAAATCTATGAGGTTGCTCCATATAGACTTCTTCTACAAGATTGTCATGAAGGAAAGCATTCTTAATATCTAGCTGATAAAGTGGCCAGTGACAAATAGTAGCTATACTAAGGAAAAGGCGAATAGATGTCATTTTTGCCACAGGGGAGAATGTGTCCCCATAATTCAAGCTAAACACCTGAGTGTATCCTTTAGCTACCAATCAAGCCTTGAGACGGTCCACCTAACCATTAGGATCAACCTTGACAGTAAACATCCATCTGCAACCAACAACAGATTTCCCAGAAGCAAGAGGAATCATGTCCCAAGTACCATTGCTCTAAAGGGCATACATCTCATCAAGCATAGCCTATTTCCATCTGGAATATGATAAAGCCTCACTTGCAGTCTTAGGAATAGACGCAAAAGACAAAGAAGATAGACAAGCAATATGCAATGGAGACGGGCGATGATAACTCAAAGTATTATAATGAGGTGAAGGATTATGAGAACTATGGATATCTTTGTGAAGAGTACTGGGCACGTTGATGTCAAGGGGCACAACTTGTGTTCTCTTGGACAAGAACGTTGGCTTCTCTTTGCTCTGATTCAAAGGCGTTATCAAAGGTAGGGGAAGGATATTTAGTTGACCAGCTATGGGTTGGGAAGTCAGTGGAGAAATTGTAGGACCCGTGGGATGACTTAGAAAATTTATAGGCAGAATTCGCTAATGTTTTTCAAGATGCTAAGGGTTTGCCTCCAAGCAGAAGAGAAGACCACGCTATTGTACTCAAGCCAGGCAGTGAAGTGCCCAACATAAGGCCCTACAGGTACCCCCATTACTAGAAAACTTTGATTGAAAATTTGGTGTCTGAGTTGTTGAATTATGGGATGAATTGGAGAGTGTATGTGAATTATCGGGCACTAAACAAATTAACAGTGCCTGATAAATTTCCAATCCCAGTTATTGAGGAGTTATTGGATGCATTAGGAGGGTCAAATGTTTATTCAAAGTTGGATCTTAAATCTGGTTATCACCAGATTAAGATGATGGAAGATACCCCAAAAATGGTTTCTCGTACTCATGAAGGCCATTATGAGTATTTGGTGATGCCATTTGGGCTCACCAATGCTCCGTCCACTTTCCAATCTCTTATGAATAAGATTTTCAAGCCCTTTCTACATAAATTTTCCTTGGTGTTTTTCAACGATATTCTCATTTTCAGCAACAAAGACACACATTTAGAACACTTGTGCATGGTGTTTGAGGTGCTGAGGCAGAATAGCTTGGTAATGGTGGCCAATAGAAAAAAAATGTAGTTTCACTCAGCAACACATAGAATACCCGGGTCATATTATTTCATAGGAGGGAGTAAGAGCTGATCCTAGAAAAATTGAGGCAATGACTATATGGGAGAGACCTAATGATGTGAAGGGTCTGAGAGGTTTCCTAGGATTTATCGGTTATTATAGAAAGTTTGTGGAAGGCTATGGGAAAATTGCGAAGCCACTGACAGACCTCCTTATAATGGATAATTTTTCTTGGAATGATGAAGCACAATTAGCTTTTGGAAAACTGAAAATTGCTGAGTTCAATCCCAGACCTAGCTGTGCCTGACTTTAGTAAGCCATTTATAGTGGTCACAGATGCTTCAGCCGTGGTGTTGGAGCAGTTCTTATGCAATGTGATCTTCCATTAAGTTTCATTAGTTTAGAGATGGGTTCGTGCAGCTCCCAAGAAGATTAAGGTTAAGGCCATGGCTGATTGGCCTACACCTAAAGATATGAAGGGTCTTAGAGGTTTTTGGGGCTCACAGACTGCTATAGAAGATTCATTTAGGGGTATGGCAAAACAGCCAAACCCCTTTACTGACCTTTTATAAAAAGACAATTTTAATTGGAGCATAGAAGCACAAAATGCGTTCACCCTTTTGAAGGAGGCCATATGTTCTATCACAGTACTATCTCTACTTGATTTTGACAAGACTTTTATTGTGATAACAGATGATTTAGGGAAGGGAATTGGGACTGTCTTAATGCAAGAAAACATATCAATAGCCTATACCCCAGTCCAGTCAAGGGTTTTCCTTGCGGGCTCAATCCAAGTCAGTATTTGAAAAGGAACTTATGGCAATTGTATTTGCAGTTTAGAAATGGAGGCATTATCTCACGGGGAGGCACTTCATTATCAAAAGTGATAAAAAAAGCCTCAAATTCCTAACTGATCTGAAGGTGTTGGGTGAAGCACTGCAGCGATGAACTTCCAAGCTTCTTGGTTTCGACTTTGAGATTCAATATTAGCTAGGAAAGGAGAATAAAATAGCAGATGCCTTTTCTAGACCGACGTAATTTTCTGTTTTTACTAATGTTGAATTGACTAGTTTGGCAACCATTACCTAATTTTCTGTTTTTCTATCTCTATAAAATAAATCCACTTTTCTTCTATTTCCTTTATTCTCATAACAACAATTTAAGTTTCCAGTCAGTAGCATATCAGATATGGGGAATATTGGGCAACAAAATGTAAGGGATGTGGGGTGATAAATAGGAGAATGGATAGAGGAGAAGGCATATTATTGAGTGTGTTGAATATCAAGAACAAGAAGATTTATAAGTAATCCATGTCTTAACTACACAGCGGAGAGTCTATTATATAACTCAAAAGAAAGAAAATACAAAGAGATATATATGATGTGGGACTTCTATACTACTATTCTAAACTATTATTTACAACACTCCCCCTCAAGCTGGAGCATATAAATCATATGCACCAAGCTTGTTACATAAGTGATCTATCCTAGGCCCTCTCAAAGACTTAGTAAAAACATCAGCTAATTGATCAGTTGAGTTAACAAAACTAGTGACTATATCTCCAGAGAGAACTTTTTCTCTAACAAAATGACAGTCTATCTCAATGTGTTTGGTCCTTTCATGAAACACTGGATTGGAAGCAATATGTAAAGCAGCTTGATTATCGCAAATGAGAGATGTTGTGCCAATGTCTCCAAATTTGAGTTCCTTCAATAGTTGTTTTAACCATATAAGTTCACAGGTGGTTGTGGCCATGGAGCGATATTCTGCTTCAGCACTTGATCTGGCAACTACACTTTGTTTCTTGCTTTTCCAAGAAACCAAGTTACCTCCAAGGAATACACAATACCCAGATGTGGATCTTCTATCACTGGGGGAACCTGCCCAATCAGCATCTGAGTATCCCTCAACTCTGGTATGACCTTTGTTTTTATAGAGGAGACCTTTACCTGGAGCATTCTTGATGTACTTGAGGATACGGATCACTGCATTCCAATGATCTTCACAAGGAGAATTCAAGAACTGACTTACTACACTGACTGCAAATGAGATGTCTGGTCGAGTAACTGTCAGATAATTCAGCTTCCCAACCAATCTTCTATACCTTTCTGGATCTGAAAATAGCTCCCCCTGATTTGGCATAAGCTTGACATTTGGATCCATGGGGGTATCGACGGGCTTAGCATTCAACAAAGTTGTCTCCTCTAGAATGTCCATAGCATATTTCCTCTGGGATATCACAATACCATCCTTGGTTTGAGCCACTTCAATTCCCAAGAAATATCGTAGTCTTCCGAGATCCTTTGTCTGAAAATGATGACTGAGATGTTGTTTTAACTGAGTAATGCCTTGATGGTCATCACCTGTAATGACAATGTCACCAACATATATTACCAAATAAATAGATCCAGAGTCTGAGTGGCGTTAAAAGACTGAGTGATCAGCCGCACTCCGAGTCATACCAAACTGCTGGACAATGGTGCTAAACCTCTCAAACCAAGCTCGTGGAGACTGTTTAAGACCATACAAAGATTTGCGGAGTCGACAAACTAGACTGGACTCCCCCTGAGCAACAAATCCAGGAGGTTGCTCCATATAAACTTCTTCCGCAAGATCACCATTGAGGAAAGCATTTTTGACATCCAATTGATAAAGCGGCCAGTGACGAATAGCAGCCATAGTAATAAAGAGGCGAACAGACGCCATTTTTGCCACAGGGGAAAATGTATCCCCATAATCTTCACCAAACACCTGAGTATATCCCTTGGCCACCAAACGTGCTTTGAGACGATCCACCTGTCTATCAGGACCAACCTTGACAGTAAATATCCATCTACATCCAACAACAGATTTTCCAGAGGGAAGAGGAACCAGATCCCAAGTACCACTGCCATGAAGTGCACACATCTCGTCAATCATAGCCTGTCGCCATCCGGGATGGGATAATGCCTCACCTGTAGTCTTAGGAACAGATACAGAAGACAAAGAAGAAAGACAAGCAAAATGTGATGGAGAAAGGCGATGATAACTCATATTTATTGAATACCTGGGTGGAGGACGAATATTACGAGTACCTTTTCGGAGAGCAATGGGTAGGTCAATGTCGGAGGGCGGGACCGAAACCGCAGGAGTTGATGACGGCAGATCTGAGTCCATAGGAACCTCATCAATGTCTTGGGGTATGGGTGGATGTGACCGACGGTGATAAACCTGGAGAGGAGGATCTGGTGCTGGGACATATGGAGAAGTGACAGTAGGCATTGGTGGTGTGGAATCTGGTGCAGGCGGTGGTGGTGTGGAATCTGGTGCCGGAACATATTGAATTGGAACAGAGGATATAGGTAACTGAGTATCAACAGAGTCATCGGGAACAGAGGTGGAGCCCAAAAATGGCACAGACTCAAAGAAAGTAACATCCGCCGAGACAAAAGAGCGATGAAGACTGGGAGAGTAACATCGATAACCTTTTTGTGTCCGGGTGTAACCGAGGAATACACATTTGTGGGATTTGGCAGACAACTTGTCACGATTGGGACTGAGTTCATGGACAAAACAAGTAGAACCAAAAATACGAAGGGGTAAGGAATGTAAAGGCTGATGAGGAAACAAGATAGAGTACGGTACCTGGTTACCAAGGACAGAGGAAGGCATGCGATTAATGAGATAGCATGCGGTGAGAACAGCATCACCCCAAAAACTGGTAGGAACATTCCCATGAATTAAGAGTGTCCGAGCTGTTTCAATAAGATGATGATTTTTTCTTTCAGCAACCCCGTTTTGTTGGGGGGTATGTGCACATGATGTGTGGTGAAGAATGCCGTGAGATGCCATGAATGATTGAAATGGTTGAGACAGATACTCACGAGCATTATCACTACGAAAAGTGCGGATAGGAATACCAAATTGAGTAAGAATTTCATGATAAAACTTCTGAAATATGGAGAACAACTCAGAGCGGTTTTTCAGTAAAAATAACCAAGTGTTTCGAGAATAATCGTCAATAAAGGTAACAAAATATCTATAACCCCGAGTTGATTCAGTACGACTGGGTCCCCAAACATCAGAGTGAACCAAACTAAAAGGAGAGGAGGCACGACGATTGACTCTATTAGGAAAAGAACTGCGAGTATGTTTCCCGAATTGACATGATTCACATTGCAAAGTAGACAGCTTGGACAAACGTGGTACCATCTTCTGGAGCTTTGTAAGACTAGGATGACCCAACTGAGCGTGAATAGTGAGTGGAGAATCTAATACAGAATGAGCATGAGAGGAGCTGGAGAGCAGGTAAAGGCCATTGGACTCAAATCCGCCGCCAATTGTCCTCCCCGAATTTCGATCCTGTAAAACAACAGAATTTTGGGTAAAAGAAATGAGACAATCAAGAGAACGTATTAAACGGCTAATGGAAAGGAGATTAAAGGGTGAACCAGGGACATAGAACACATTATCAATAGTAATGGAGGGAAAGATATGTACTGTTCCAATCCCATGAGACTGAACCTGGGAACCATTAGCCATAGTGACAACAGGCAAATAACCAGAGGTAGAAAGAGAGGAAAACAAAGATTTATTACCAGAAATATGATCAGAGGCACCAGAATCAAGAACCCAATGATTAAATGATGAACTTTGAGTAAAATCAGCAACGCTATTACCTATATGCACAACAGTAGCAGTGGAACCAGTGATCGTGAGTTGAGAAATATCTTGAGGAAGGATAAATGAGCTAGAATCAGCCATGGATCAAGAACAATTCGCTGAAACAAAGATGTCGTGATCAGTAATGGAAAGAGGAGAAATGCTTCAGTGGAAATTTAGGAGCGGGCCTTGGACGGAAAGAACCGCCTCTTTGTGACGATCACAACTGTGGGTGGCTCGCCGGAAAAAGTGCCTAAAAAGTGATCGGTGGTGGAAGTCAACAGCGGTCAAATGGTGGTCCACGACGCTGGCAACCTCTGATGATGGTGGGTCTTGCGGTGTTGGGTAGATCGGCTTCTTCTGAGTCCGTTGATGTACTTTTCGATCAAAACGGGCGCCGGAAAATTTTTCCGGTGGAGGACGATGGTGGCAGACGGTGGCCGGAAACTGACGATGGTGACAGTTTTCGAGAAGATTTTTACTCGGTAGACAGTGGGTCTACCGGAAAGATGCGGATCTTGTTAGACTCTAGATACCATGTTGAATATCAAGAACAAGAAGATTTATAAGTAATATGTGTTTTAACTACACAGCGGAGAGTCTATTATACAACTCAAAAGAAAGAAAATACAAAGAGATATATATGATGTGGGACTTCTATACTACTATTCTAAACTATTATTTACAACAGAGTGGATGGGAATTGGGAGAGACTAATAGCCTCTTGAAAGCTCCTGGATTATCATTTTTTTTCTTGTTCTATAATTTTCTTATGTCATTGGTGTTTGTACTTTTTCGTGCTGATTCCACTGAGAATTCAGCCATATATAATGCAAAATTCTGTTGCCGTACTTTGTGTTCATTTCCTTTCTTGGTTGGATCCTATCAGGTTCTTATTCTGGGAACACTGAAGCTATTATTTTGTTGTCTTTCTGTTTCTTGAGATGTAATAAATATCTTATTTCATCACTCACCAAAGTTGTAGAAATGCCAGGTATATTTGAATTTTGGGGTGCTTTCTTGCAAAGTGATGTAATTGAGGGAATTAAAAAGGGAAACCTGATGTTGTAGAGCTCTTGCCCTTCGGTGGTTCTAAGCAAGGGTTTATAGTAGGCAGCCTTACCTTGCATGTTTGCAAGAGGCTGATTGCCTGAATCGAACCAGTGACCTCTGGGTCACATGACAACAACTACCGTGATATAGGAAATTAATTTTTCTAAATCTATCTTTCAATTTCTAAGATACTGAAGTAGAATTTCCTCATTTGATATGTAATTTGAAGTGGTTTAATATCTTAACTAATGTATGTGATCCAGACTAATAAATTGCAGGTAAAGAGCATGCAACAGGTAATATTTGCAGCTTCTCAAATTCTCTTTTTAAGACAGGCTCTGGAAAAAATGTTACTATATCTTCTAGTGGTCTGGTTCGAGCAAAGACATTATTTGGACTGAAAGAAGACACTGTTGGTAGTAATATCCAAAGCCCTCAGCATACAGAAAAATTGCATGCTATTGGTGAAACATATGAAAGGCAACCATCACATACTATACAGCCACATAAAGTTATCAACAGTAATAAGATGATGACGAACACTGTATCATGTCGAAGTCCTTCAGTTGGTAGTAGTCACACATTGAATGGCTTTGAAAGAAAGATTGTTCAACCTGATAAACAAGCTCCACTTAAATTCCACACTGCTGGGGGAAGGTCTATATCCATTTCGAATGATGCACTGCAACGTGCTAGGAGCCTTCTTGGTGACCCAGACCTGGGAGATTTCTTTGATGGAGGGGATGCTGGTGATTCAATTTTCTCATTTCCAAATAATAGACAAACCAACGCTACTTTATCTTGTGATAGGAGTGATCGTAATACTCCTTTGGTCCATCAGATAACATATGGGAACAATCATATGACAAAAAGTTGCACATACCCCTTGCAGTCTTCTAGACAAAAAGACTTTTCAAGCAAGTATCTTTGTGAAGGTACTGGGAATAACTTAATGATGAAATTTGATGCTGTTGGGAATGAAAATGATTATTGCCATAAAAGTAGCAACACTTGTGGACAGAAACCCTTATATGACAGGAACCAAGAGCCAGACTCAACATTATATCATTCTTCATTGAATGGTCTTTCTTCAAAAATAGATTCACGTGGAATGTCATTAGGCAGGCCATTGGCTGATATTTCCAATGCCAGTAACACAGTTCATACAAACAGTAGACAACCTGCTAGTGGAAAAAGGAGACTGGGATTACGGGTAACTGTTTCTCCCTTCAAAAGGCCTCGTAGTTCTCAAATTTCTATCCCTTTAGGCCAGGATGTTGGAGTTTTTCCTAATGGTAAGCATAGTTTAAGAGTCTTTAAGTACGTTCCTTTCATTTTTATTAGTTGCACTATTATACTCATTTTGAGGTTGTGATCTTCAGATTCATCTCAATTATGCTCTGGTGCTTCTGGATGCAAAAGAAAGCTTTCTACCCGGTATCCATTTCGGTATCCAAGGATGCACATTAAGGAATTTTTTGCAGCACCTCCATTAGAGCAGAAAGTGGTGAGTTTAATCCGTACATGATCAGTGTTGATTATTATCTTCTCTTAGGACCTCATTCTCTTGGCACTGTAAGCACTTTGTGCACCAAAATGAATTTTGTTGCAGCATTTTGCAAACCAGGTCAGACAAGTGACATCAGGTAATGCAGAAAAGTACATGTTTCGTGATGGGTCTGGTGATAATGATATGGGAGCAGAAGCTTTTGGCAATCTATTGGCTCAGTGTGGAGCTTCCATGGATTTTGCTTCTAAAGAGTAATTGCTTCTTCCCTGAACTTTGCTTCCAGTATCTGTGAAAACTGTTAAGGATTAACTTTGCTTTGTGGTTTTTGATGTATGCATATGGCTAGGTCAGTTAGCATGTTGAAGTGTGTCAGAATGTAATTTCAACTTGATAAATTCAATTCTTGAACGTGGGTAAATTTAATAATTTAGGGGAGTTTGGTACTTAAAGTGCTCTTTGGTGGTTTTCTTATGTATTACGCATTGCAATGTACTTAAACAATGTTCTTTCACCTAGTCTTAATTGGCGTAGTTTGACACTTCCATTAGGTGGGTCATGAATCATTACAAGTGGATTGTCTGGAAACTGGCATGCTACGAGAGATGCAATCCAGCTAGGTCTGCCGGAAAATTTTTGACTGTATTAAATGTACTTGAGGAACTGAAGTACAGGTATGTAACTGCTTAAGAGAACATATTATGTTATGGCTCTATAAAACTAATTACGAGATTTGGTGCATAGATATGAAAGAGAAGTGAGTCATGGCCATCGGTCTACCATCAAGAAAATTCTTGAAGGGGATGCGTTGCCTTCTTCAATGATGATTCTCTGCATTTCTAGCATCCACTCTGATCATGGACCGGAAAGTGTGGCTTTTTTTGAGACACAAACCGGGGCTCAGAACAGGGGCGTAGTAAAAGCTGAACTAACTGATGGATGGTAAGAATTTCGACTTACTTGCTGTCTGATTGCAAAAAATATAAGGTTCCCGGGCTTGTAGAATGTTTTTACCTTGCAGGTATTCTCTGAGTGCCATTTTAGATGTTCCACTGTCAGAACAACGAGCTGCTGGAAGATTGTTTGTGGGACAGAAGCTTCGGGTAAGGTGTCGGTCTGTCTTTGTTGTTTATCTTACTGTCCTTGATTATAAGACAGATAACATCGAGCTTTGTTTATATATGCCTTATGCAGATCTGGGGAGCAGGATTATGTGGCTGGAATGGGCCAGTCTCCCCTCTTGAGGTTTTCTATGGCTTAAGATTATGATCGAGTAAATTATATATATGTATTGCTATTTCCTGTCAGATGGTTCCCTCAGATTCTATTCTAATTTCAGGTATCGTCAACAGTTAGTTTATTGCTTCACATAAATGGAACATATAGAGCTCATTGGGCAGAGCGATTAGGATTTTGTAAGCGTTTTTAGTTTGTGGATGTCATTCTTTTCAATTTTATAGAAATGTAGCATCTTGTTCCTTGAGCTTATCTTCTTGAGCTAATCCACAGGTAAGGCTGCTGGTCCACCTTTGGCTTTCAGATGCATAAAAAGTAATGGCGGTTTAATCCCTCAAACTATGGCGGGAATTACCCGCATATATCCTATTCTTTACAAGGAAAGGTAACTTTTAACTGAGTATGTCCTATAGTTTCACATGATATATGTACAGAAAATTACTTTACAGAAATATATTCTAATTATGCAATCAAGAAAGTTAATTACTGTTTTCCTCATCAGGTTAAGCAATGGACGGTCAATTGTCATATCAGAGAGGATGGAAAATAAATTGATGGAGCTGTACAATCAGAGGTGATGACTTATACTATTCATCTGTCTCTTTTGTTATTCATAAGCAGAAATCACTGTGGCTTACTATTTTATTGTTCCCCCATCTATCTCCTCTTTTTCCTTCATCTGATCTGAATATTTTCTGTTAATCATGAGCTTTTGTGCTTGCATTTTGGTTCTGTGTGTGCGCATGTTTTTCAAATTAGATTGCGAATTGTCTGGGCTAAATTTTTAGTTTCTTGATCCTTTTCCATTATACCTGCTATAAAATTTTCTACAGAAAAGCTAAGGTGTGGTATGCCTAAGATCTTAGGAGTAAGGAGAGGAGAAACTTCTTCTCATCTTTATGGGTCTTACTTTGCAACTCACAGAACACCTACTTAAATCTCTTGGAAAAATTCATGATTTGTGACATACTTGAACCATAAATGCATAATGTCTAGACACTAATTCCTAATTAGTGTAGTGCCTTCTTTATAGGAACATGTTCTTGGATTTATGGAATAAAAACATGCATCATGATTCATGAGACCCTCAAATTTCAAAATTAATTTCTAATAATACCATCTTTATAAGGTAGAGTCAATAGTATCCTTCAAATTTTTTTTTTAATGCATTAAGATATGTAAGAACAATATAGCTTGAGATGGAAGAGTGGCATTTCAAAGAAGGCAAAACTGATGTGAGAAGAACATGAGGTGATATTTGGTTCCAATTTGTGCAAAAAACAAAAAATAGTAAAATAGAGTAAGTTATATTACAAAAGATGTGAGCAAAGCCAAAAGGTGGAGGAGGTTTTCACATTATAATTCTCTATGAACATTGCAAATGTAAGGATAAAAACAGAAGGAACAACAGTTCAAAAATAGATTAAATTCTAAATCAAATCAGTTTATATTTTTTCCTCCATTTTTCGAGAAGGAATAATGACATCAATAAATGGTCAACTGAATCCTATTGATTATTTCTGCTATCCATTTTTCTTTTATTGCCTGATTGGTATCTACTTTGAACATCTTGTTCATCACTAGTGAACTCTATACTTTTGCAATTGAATTTCATTGCTTTTTAATATAAAGCATTTTGGTATACAGTACAGATGATTGCTCATGTGGTTGCTTGAAGGTTTATAGTCGCGTAATAATCCAAGTTGGTGAACACCGGACTTTAATGGATTTCTTCTCAAATAAGCCTGACCTAATAAGAAATAAGAATAGGACAAAAGGAGCTCATTAATTTTGGTATTAAACTGTTCATTTATACTGTGTGATAAATGTTAAACCTGAATATAATATAATTTGATGGCAATAGATGGCATTAAGTGGGTGTCTTAACTTTTCTACACTCAAGAGTTATTAAGTTTAGGGGTGACCTAACTAGATCTCAGGATTTTATCTACACAAAGGGTAATGGGTTCAATTTCTGAGAGTCGCAATTTATGAGGAGGGTGGAGAGTCAAATCCGAACCGAATTAGTCGGTCCCATTAGAGCTTCGAACACATGTTGGTATTACAAAAAAAAATAAATATAATTTCTGTAGTCACCGTAAATTTAAATTTGTTTAGCTGCATAATTGAATACATAAGAATAAGATGAAACACAGAAAATTTATATCATATAATGCATATAGTAAAGCCAGAAAAAATATCAGGTTTTTACCATACGGGTGTAACTGTTATTTTTACGGCCCATTAATGTGAATTTTGTTTTTGTGCTGTGACTGATCACCCATATGGTCGTAGACGCTCTGCTATTGTGGATGACATCATTTCAGAGTATCAGAAGGACGGAAGAGATTCACATCTTTATGATGATAGTGAAGGGGCTAAGATTTATAAGATGCTGGAGACAGCTGAAGAACCGGAATTCCTAATGGCAGATATGAGTCCAGAGCAGCTAAGTTCTTTTGCTGCTTATAAGGCCAAATTAAATGTGAGGTTATATTCCTATCTTAATTAAAGTCTTTTATGCAGAAAGATGTTTATGATTTCAAATCCATCTTCAGGCGAGCAAACAATCAGAAATGGAAAAATCAATTGAGAAAGCTTTGAAAGATGCTGGCTTAAGACATAGAGAAATCACACCATTTATGAGGTTGCGGGTAGTTGGATTAACTTACAAAAATCGACACGACAAGCCTAAGGAAGGCGTTGTAACAATCTGGAACCCAACAGAGAAGCAGGTGAGGCTTGGGAGCCAATTTCAAATATTAGTCGCATTTCTTTGTGTTCATAATTTTTCAGTTACTTCTGTGATTGTAGCTTTGTAATTAAGTGGTTTCCTCATGCATGCCTACCTAGCTAATTTAAATGAGAATGGATCATTTCATGTGTTATTTAGCATGAATATATATCATGTGAGAGGATCATAATCATTCATGGACAAATTAGCAGTTATAAGAGATGAGAGTGAAAAATGTTGGAATAGGGAGTGACAAAGTCATCACCGTGGATTTGGCCATGAACAGTTAGGATCCTCTCATATGACATGGTCATGTTAAATAACACATGAGAGGATGCACTCCCAATTTCCACAGACTTCCTTTCCTTTCTTTCATTACCTTTTCATAAATGTTAATCATGGACATCAGGAAATTTCTCACAATTTCGTTATACAAATATGACAGCGTCAGGAGCTAGTAGAAGGAGAAGCATATGCAATTGCAGGACTCATCCCATCAGGTTCTGATTTCGATATCCTTCACTTGCAGACTAGAGGATCTTCTACCAAGTGGTTGCCTTTATCTTCTAATGCAAGGGAACAGTTTAAGTAGGTATCTAGCAATCAGAATAGGATGAAAAAAAAAGGAATTTCTACTGGGCTTTATTCTGGTTTTGTCAAATACTAAATCCAGTTTATTGTTGTCCTTCGTAGGCCATTTTTCCCCAGTAGAAAATCGATCTCATTGTCAAGTTTGAGTGACATCCCTCTTTCCAAGTATTTTGACGCCCTAATCCTTTTATATATATCCTTTTGCTATCAGTTAAAAAAGAATAGCAAGAAAATATTTTACATTGCCTTGTCATTGTTCTTGTACAGTGAGTTCGATATTGCTGCATATGTTGTGCATGTTGGAGAGGTTTATACAACTAGTCAGCAAAAGAAGCAATGGGTTTTTGTGACTGATGGATCCATCATGGATGGTTTACAGTCAGAGAAGTTAATCAACTCTTTGCTTGCCATCTGCTTTTGCTCTCCATCCATTGATTATGATTCATTTCCACCAATCAACTATAACCTTGTTGGATCTACGGTAATTGTGATGTATTATCTTTTTTGTTACTGCAATTTAAACTTTAATATCCATTATGGATTATAATTCATTTCCACCAATTAATTGTAATGTCTTCATTATCTTTTATCAAAAGTATTTACAGCTTGATCCTTCATACCTTACAAAAGAAAAATATGATCTCAAAATTTTGGGCATAGGTTTGCAGGCTAGCATATATTGGAAGATAATTCTAATTAGGCTTTAGTGAAACAATTATTATTACCGTGAAGAACTATTTCAACTCAAAAACTTAAGCTGTTAAGGTGAGTTTATATTAATAATTTATATTTCTTAAGCTGTTAGAGTCTCTGTGATCAGATGATCAGAAATTTGATCCTTAATGTGGGGTTTCACACTTGAGAGGGAGATTGTTAGGGTATTCGATTGTGGAGTCCTACATTACTTGGTAATAGGCTAAGTGAAGACCATATAAGTGGAAGGATTTATGTACCTAATACCTTAAAGTTTTGGGTTGAGACATGGTGTCAGACTTAGTTGATGTAATTGGTCTAACTTAACCCATTGATGGTCTTCCCCTACCATGGGCTCCCCGTGGTCCTCAAGCCTTAGGTGAAGGCACATTGATGGTCTTATATTATTAGTAGGATGTAGTTGGTGAGAATCAAACTCATGATCACTTGGTCATAGAGGCTCTGATATCATATAAAGGATTAATTTCACCAAAAAGCTTAACCTTTTAAGTGAAGGCACATTAATGGTCTTATGTTTTATATTATATTTCTCTGACAATTACAAATAAAATGACAGTATAAGATGCTTAGGTCGTGTAGTTTGTGAAACATGTCTAAAGTTGTATCCTTCAGAAGTTGGATGAAACATGTATCTTCATTATCTGCAGGTTGGTTTCTGCAATCTTATAAAAAGGGAAAAGGACCATACAAACCATATATGGGTTGCTGATGCCACTGAAAACTTAACTTATTATTTGAATTTTGATTCCAAGCACTGTTCTCACTTCAGAAACGCTGCCAGCTCCGTCAGAAGATGGGCAAACAATTCTAGTTCGGTATGCATCGTGGAACTCTACCATATCAATACTTGTGCTGCAGGATTCAATTTCTTATTTTGACATTTGTTTCATCTTTTCTGCAGACAATAGAGAAACTCAAGGAAAAGGTGTTGTTTGTGGTTGGTGATTGTAAAGCCTAGAAGGAGAAAAGAAACATAACTAAAGATGTGCATATGTTCTATTGTCTATGTAATAATACAGAGTTTCGGAAATCTATGACCTGACATCAGTTAAAAGCTAACCTGTCATTAACTTGCCAGCATCATCACCTGAGTCAATCCACTTTTTTTTTTTGTTTTTTTTGTTTTACGAGTTCTGGTTGTGTTTTTCCTTTGCAGAGTTGAAATAATCCTTGAACGAAATAAATGTAATTTTTTATGCAAAGGATATTTCTATGCACTTTTTGGTGTAGGATGAACAAAATAATTAAGGGAATGCAGTTGACGATTCAAAACATGTTGGAATAGTCTCAACTAATTTTGGGGGATCAAATTATGATTTTCATCAAAAACATGAGCTCATGCAGTGCTGTCAAGTATATACCTTTATAAACGTGTTTTAAGTCCTAAAAGCAAGTCCTAATGTGGTCTTGAACATAGTTCCATCCTTTGAGATTTGGTTATTAATTTTGACCCTTGAGCTCCAAGATTTGCATTACTTTTGTGTGTGCTTGGATTACTTCGTGGATTCTTTTTTATTGTTGCTTCTCAATTAGTTATAAAAAAATCTTCTCCAAACTTATTTGATATCATCAAACTTATGATGATGTAGCACTATTAGATGTATCAATCTTGAGTGCATAGAACCACATCTTCACTTTGATTTCACATAATATAAGGAGCTTTGTAATTTATTCCCTATATTTAATGTACAAATCTCTTGGTAAATATACTTATTTATACTCTCATTTTAAAAATTTAATATAATGGTTCTTATATAAATAAATAAAATTATCATTATTTATATAATTATATGTAGGGAGAAGTGTTTTTCCTATAATAAGAGATAAAATTATCTCCTCCCACCCAAAATAACATTTTGGGAAAAAAATTAAGGACGTTTTGGGAGGTAAAATTATCATATAAGGTTTTGTTTTTTTATTGTTATTTTTTTTTTGGTTGCACACATAAGATAACTTTATCTCCTCTAGGAGGGAATTACTAAACCCTTACATGTAAAATATTTTTATTTTTTTATGGTGTCAAATAAAAGGTAAAACATAAATTAAACAAAGTTTTGTTGAGGCATCCCTGTCCTATACATTCAGAAATATACATGAATCATAATTGTAACTGATCAGTCCAATACAATATAGGCGGACTAATATGTTTTGGGCCTAATCACACACGGTTGAATAGTGAAGGCTTTCAATGAGGCTATATGTTTCTTAGGCTAGAGATGTTGGTAATGAGATGGATCAGTGACGTTCTCCCTTGGCGCAATGATTCTGACGGGGGGGAGGAGGGGTACCTGCAAAGGCACTTCGACGCTCAAGTCAGTATCAAAGCTAGGCTTATGTTGTATTCTTACTGAATTAGATTATTCTACCTGGGTATGTACCCTTTGTTTATATAGTGAATCTGATGCGGCCTTTGGTAGGAGGTATGTCCTCTGATTGACTGTTCATGAGCTGCAGGCTTATCTGTTCTCAGCTGGTGCCTTTTTGGCCTTACCTCTATATGTCAGGTTACCTTGTTAGAGTGGTGGCAAGCTGGAGCTGTCTTTCGTGTAGTGGTTTTATCGCGCGGTGGTTTCTTATGCTATGGACTCCTTCCTTAGTTCTTAAGGCACGTCTTAGACGGTTTAGGCGCGATAAGGCAGTCGCGCCCCTAGATTCTTTATGCGCGATGAACATATTGCGTGCTTCATGGGCCTTAATCTTTGGTTTTAACCTTTTTGTGGGCTTGTTACATTTTATCCAGATCAGTTGCCCCCTAGCTTACAACTTTTATTTAAAAAGTTGTGAGATATATAACTGTACTTCATTGCGCAGGCTTTCGTCGGGCTTTGGCGCTGTTAATTTGTATCGCGCTTATTATGATAAAAATACCATCATTACCTCGCCATTTAAAATGGTTGATTAGATGTTTAACTGTCAGAAGCATTAAATGCCACCGTGGTTACGTGGGTGTCTTAAGAGCTAACGTGTGGTGTTTTAAGTTTTAACCCTTTTATCTTCTCCCCACATGCCCCTTTTATCCGTTTTGAACAACACGTTTTTAACCTTTTAGATTCTCTCGGTGACCTTTCATATTTGTACTGTGGTGCTTAAGTGGAGGGAAAATCATTCATACTTCCTACTGTGAAATCCTTTTCTCCAACGTTCCTTCTAAGTTTTATTCTTGGTGTTGACATGTCCTGCTTTCAATTTCCTATCCGAAGTATAAAGCTCAGGTATACTCTACCTTCTTCTTTGCATTTCATTTCATGTGTTCTTCATCGTTGTTGTTTCTTCTTCTAATCACGTTAGGGTATCCCTGATAATGACAAATTTGTGAATTTCATCAGAATGACCGAGAAATCTGACTCCACCAGCCTTCCATCAAAGTCCTTCCCTAGGTCCAGGTCTTTAGGGACAGGGGAATGGTGGCTATCGGGCAGGGGTTCTGCACCCTGGGAAAAGGCGAAACTTGACAAAAGTTTCCCTTCCACTCTTTGAAGATTCGAGATTGGATCTTCGTCTCGGAAACATGACCACGAAATATCCAGAACTTTGTTGCAACAAAGTTCGTCCCCTCTTCCAAAAATGTTTGTGCCAGACCAGATGGCCAATCCTATTTGTATATCGAGTGACTATAGTTCTGATTCCAGAAATTGTTATGACTCTATAAATTCCCTAGGTTTTGAGTTCCCTTTGAATGTAACTTCTATAATTTCATCGTGCAGTTCTCTTTCTCCTACTGCGCGTAGTGAATCAGACCAAGAAAAAAGTCCTAGTCCACTTCCATTAAGTGTCATTTACCCTGCTGGGTATCCGTATAAAAAATGCAATTTCGACAACTTTAAAAATTCATTTACTAGTTCTTCTTCTGCTTCTTCTAGCTCTACTAATGCCTCCTCTTCTGAAATTATTTCACCCAAAATCAAAGAGATCTTGGCTAAACGCAACGCGGCAGAGAAGAAGAAAAAACAAAAGCAAAATCCAGAGGTAGCTGGATCGAGTACTCGGGGCATTCGTGACGTGGACACTTTGGATTGGGTATCAAATATCGTGCTAGATACTGTCTCCGTGTATAGTTCACCGGGGGAATTGGAAGAGCTGAAGGTTGCAATCCACCTGACTCCAAACAGAGTGCAAGATGATAACTGGGAGTTATCAGTAGTTCCCCTGAACGAACGGGTATGTTCATCGCGCGCTGACAATTCTTCAAAGCATTTCCTGATGATGTATGCTTATTTCTTTTTGACGATAGGAGTGCGTCTTCCCTTCTCCCCATTTGTTTGCAAATTGCTGGTGCATATTCATGTAGCTCCTTCATAATTATCTCCAAACGCATGGGGTTTTATTAGGGTATACGAGATGGTGTGTAAGGCCTACAATTTATTCCAATCTTCAGAGTCTTTTTGTGTCTATTTAGTGTATTCGGGCCGCGCTCTAGCTGGGTTTCTTTCAGGGGAATGCTAAGCATAAGTTTTGTGACTCCTATCAAAGGAAGATTCACAAATGAACCCCAGAATATTTCAAGATTTATCCAGCGAGGGATTGTCATCCTCTTTTCTTAGGAGAAGAAGATAATGCTCCTATCTTTCCTCTATACTGGACACGACACCCTGCAGAAGAATATAAGTTGAACATCTCCTTTGAGGATTTGAACGATTATGAGAAGCATACGCTCACCACTCTATGTAACATTGCACGGGAGGTATCAGATTCAAATTATCTGAGTACCTATACTATCTTGAATGAATATACTAATGACGACATTGAAAAATATTTTTTAGGTAATTTGTTCATTGAATTTTATAATTTATGTAATGTATATCCCTATCTTGGTTTATTTGGCGCTAATGTGAATCTGTGTGTTTTGTTCCCCAGATAGCTCAATGTCCGCGAAATTGAAGAAGTTGGAAGCTGTGGTTGCTATAAGGGCTGGTGGTGCTAGCCTTTCAGGAACCGTGGCGCCATCCTCTGGGGCCTCTCCTGCTGGTGTTGAAACCAGCCAGGGCGCAGTGCACATGAAATCTCCTGGTCCTCGGGCAATGACCAATGCGGCGTCGCCTAAGAAGAAAGAAATAGAGCCGCTTGGTAGGGGCTAAAAAAGAAAAACTCCTGATACGGGTATGACTTTTCAGGAGTCAACCTTCTTTGGAAGCGGTTGGGGGATGGATGAAGAACTGTATACAAAGGGCAAGGAAGTTGGTCCTCAAATTGAAAAGGCTTCTATGCAATCTTGGCTAGGGGCTGTTAGAAAGCTGAGTGTTGCGAATCAGCACCTTATGTCTCTGACAGGTATACTTTGTTAAATTTGTTTTACAAAAACATGTTTATTTTTTATGAACCTTCGTTTGATAATCTTCTTTCTGTATGCGTCCTTGTTGCCTTTGTTCAGGGACGGTGACTTATTTGAAGGAACACATTTTGGAGCTTGAAGGTGAGAAGACCAGCATGCATGCTGACTATGAGGAGGCCAAGAAAAAAGCTGAAGATGATGGAGCCAAGATGGCGCGGGAGATTAAGGAATTGAGTACAAGAAATAAAGAATTGAAAACAGAGAAGGCTAATATGTCCAAGCAAGTCACGGATCTTGAGGCTAGCATGGATACCTTGGAAGAAGAGAAGATTGCCCTAAAAGATTAAGTAAAAAACTATCAAGATTATTTCGAGAATAAAGTTGAGGGAACGTATGTGAATGTCCTGAACCAAGTACGTCTCTTCAATCCGAGTGTGAAGTTGGATAATGTTCATTATCTGTACTACGTGAAGGATAGTCGATTAACGAAGTTGAATGATAAGGATGAAGAAGAGTTAGTGGAACTGATAAGCGCGATGGACACTAAGACGTTTCCCCAGCCGATTGCGCCAGAAAATGTTGGGGAGATCATGGGGTAACCGAAAAAAGGCCCCAGGATATGTCGATTCAGACAGTTTGAAACTTTTCTTTATGTTTTATGATTTTATGTTTGTTTATCATGGTATATGGTTTGTCCAATGGTGCATAGGTTCTCCTATGTAGCCTTGAAACAATGGATTTTGTATGTTAATTATCCCGGAACTTAACCCATATTTCTCGAAGTATTTATAGTATATCATG